TTCCCTAAACTATTGTACTTAATTCTGCAATTTTAGGTCTCAGTTTTCTTTTCAGTAGTATTAAAATCTAAATTAGGTAATTGTCTTGTACTAAAATGAGTTTCCCAACTGGTTATCTCAATTCCAGTTTTAGTTAAATGCAAGTTAACAGTGTTGTTTAAAGTCAACTATTCTATAATTTTATAATTAAATAATTTGAATTTTTAAGCCTCCTTTAATATAACTTAATTCATAAAAACTTAATTAAAGCCTTGAAGTTGATTTCATAGCCACTTTCCTCTTCCTTCTCTTCTAAGGAAGAAGTCCCTCTCAACTCCGGTTAATTAATAGCATAAATTCAAAACGAAAAGAAGAAAGAAAAATTTTGCATACATGCCATACAATTCTTATGTATTTACACATCTAACACATCTAACACCCAATGTATATTTAGTCGTAATTTTACTCAAGAAAAGGTGTATTCTATTTTTAAGAACATATTAATGATGATATTTCATACATGATGTTAAATATTTGAGTGAAATGCATATAAATATAAATATTTCAGATTTATATATGCAAATAAATAAAATTTATATGATATGTATGTAAATGTCCCGAGAAAAAAACTTAATGAAACATCACAATCGGTTTGGCTAAGAAAAAGTGGATCCAGCTTCATGGTCTTTGCATGAGCAAAGAAAAATTGCATCATTTCATGCAGCAGTTAATTCTGCTTTGAATGCTTCCATAGCCGGTATCAATCAGTCTCGATCAAGAAAAAATATTCCGATCGGTGAACCGCACCTCTGAGTAATGGTGAGGATTTGACCACATCACCGTGCATTTCATTAAGTCGAATTCTCATAGTTGTCTGTGAACATCGGAACAGAATAATTTAACCTCGGTCAAAGACTCGTTTACATTAAAGCGAGTAGTTAATGAGTATTCTTTGTATTTTTATTTTTATTGGCTTTTCAATGCATAGAATTCTTCTTATAAAGTCCGCATATAAATTGATTTTTTGTACAACGGTATTGTACGATGATGTATATATTCGTACAATTGTGTATAATATTATTGTATAAGTAGTCTGCATGCATGCAAACTCCACACCGAATATTCTACTCATTGTTTGTATATCCACATTGACAATATACTAAGATTGTACTATATCTATAATTGCTATAAAAATAAAAAATTAAGTTTGCATGAAATTGAAGGAAATTGGGGCACAGGGGAGTTATATATTGTGTAATTTACATTCCTATTATGCAATTTTTACACGTCTATATATTTAATATTTATATTTTTCGCACTTTTGTTCCTTAAAGCAATGCATTTAAAATGTATTACATTTTTAAGAAATAAGTAATGAAAATATCATTAATGTGGTATTAAAAATTTTAAAGCTATATATAAATATAAAAAAATACTTTTTAAATATATAAATACATAAAAAGTTTGATGGTATGCATATATGTGTCCCTTATGAGGTTTTTATGGGCTATATAATGATAATTTTTAACTTGATATAATTAAAATTTATGCCTCATTCATAAGAAAAAGTTTTATATCATGAGACTTGATGCACAAGACTCCAATCACAATGCATCATATGTACAGTACGGTTTTGTCATGCATTAAACTATCTAAGTTTTTGTATTATGTTGAGCTATACTTGATGTAATATTTTGTCCATTATGAACAACAATGCTATAATCTGAGCCAAATTCATGTACAAATATTATAATATGAGCCCAACCCATCCCACCTTAATAATTATATATGATATCTAGTTTTGACTCCCATATCTAATATTGTGCATTTACATTCGCACCACCTTAAGTCCTATTTATTTACATGTCTAGTGCCTAAACTTCTTATATGCATGCAATCAAATTTTTTTGTATTACATCAAAAATATTATTATTTATTCCTAATTTTTTTATTAATAAAATATACATTTTCTTGCAAATAATATAGTATAAATGTAATACTATAATGTAGATGTTGATGTAAGTAAAAACTCAGGCTTTAATCCTAAGGCATAGTATATCGTAGTTTGAATTTGGAGCTTTTATCGAGTTTTCATATATTGTTCAAGCTTGATTTCTTTAAACTTTTCGATGTTCGGACTTGATTTGTAGTGGATTTGCTTACGACAAATTCAAATAGTATTTAAACGAGCTAATGAACATGCTAAAATTTCAAACAAACATCGAGATTATAATAAAAAAGTTCAATAAATAATAAGATAAATGATTGTAGCTATTAATTTATTAATTATAAACTTAAAATCCTACAATTTTTTAAATTTTATTTATTCTCCTTTTTGTCCTAAATCCTTTGCTTAGAAGTTATTTAGTAGAATAATGTGTCTCGCATTTAAGCGAGACATAACTTAAATCCTACCAAATAACTAAAAATGGCAACTTTAAAACCCACAAAAATTAAACAAATTAAAATTTCTATTTAACCAATAAACAAGTTTAAATAAGTACTCGAGCTTATTATCGAATATTTAATAAATTACTTGTTAAACAAAATTTATATGAACATAAATGAACAAGTTCAATTATGTTCATACTTAGCTGATTTAAGCTTCAAACTTCTAAAAATTATTTAAGCTTACTCGTTAATGAACAAACATAATCAAATTTTAATCAAGCCAAGCTTGAGGTATTCATTGAGTTCATTTAAAACCCCAACACATAAAAAGTAAGTAATATACATGCAAATATACTCTTTCCAGCACAATTTACTCCACTTATATGCATTCACATATCCAACACCTAAATTTCAATTATTATAAATATACCATTTCTCCCATGCATCTTTTGCTGTATTTTAATTATTTAAGTTACAAAAGTGGCTTCTCAAGAGTTTATATCTGTAAATTTGTTTAGTTTTTCGCTGTATCTGATGCTTGTAATTGGTTGTTTATTGAACCCCAAAACTCCGTTTTTGTCTTTATCTGAATAATTTCATTGAAAGAGTTAAATACAGTATTATTCCAAAAAAGAAAATGGCTCAGAAAGAGACGATTCCTTTTTGCAAGCAGCAGGACAATTCATAACACATGTCACTCTAAAAATCCACACAAGGAAAGAAGATAGCTTGCATGTAAATGGCAGGAACAGTTTCCATCAAAAATATGAAATAAAAAAAAAAATAATTAGGTAATAAAAAGATTTAAATTCTCATTTAAAAATTTATACAATAAGCCCTGGAACAGGAAGCTGAGGTCTGAAACATAATATACCTATTTCAAATTATTATTCAGCTTCTACAATTCTCTGTTATTAGCTCATTTTCTTGTAACAACTTATAAAAATAAAAGAGAAAAGATGAAGGCAGAGTTGTTCTACCACCAGTTCAGAAACCCTTGGGGCATCCTTTCTTCTCGTCTGAGGAAGCCACTTCAGAAGGTTATGTAATAATAGATTTGAATCAAAAAGAAGATACCAAAGAAACAAATAACGAAAAAATACAAATAGTCAGGAATTTGAGAGAATCATATGGCTAATTTCATGATCAAGCCACCTCCTGCATCCTCTCCTGCTCTGCGTAGAGTTGATCGAAGGAAAGGAAATCAGCACCACCTCCCCCGACGTTTCGCTGAAACTGTTTCTGTTGCTCAAGAAGGGTGCGGTGATATGAAGGCAGACCGGTTGCTGAAGGACCATCCTTCACGAGATGCTGGACCCAAGAGAGATCAGGCTCATCTGCAGAAGGTGCTATGGCAGGATAAACCATCCCACCAAAAGTGTTACTTCCATTGCTGCGGAAATTGAAAGACGCCGACTTTCTCAGCTTGTTCAATTCATCTCCTTGAATCCCCCAATCCAATTTTCCATCAGGAGATCCCCAGTTAGAAATGGCTACCGGCGAGCTTGGGGTAGCCGAAGTTAATGGAGATGAAAGGGCTGGAAGATGGCGGGGAGAAGCTCCTCGGTCAACAAAACTCTGACTCCTCTTAGCAAAAGCTGCCTGCCTTGAATTCATGATGGCCTTTGCCATCGAATGATCAAGTCCAAACGAAGAAGAAGCTGTCACGTTGGGAGAAGAAGCCATATTGTTCCCATAAGCAGAAGAACCCTTCAAGTTGAGACCTTGAAGTTGGGACAGCATAGAAGGGTCGATTGAACCAATCAGATCATTGTAATCAGAAGCAGTATTGAAACAATTAGTCTTCCAGTTCGATCGAGGAGAAGCAGCAGCACTGGTTGAGATTTCATCAAGCAGCTTCTGTTGGTAACCTTCCATGCCCATCAATTCGAGATCCAAATCGAGGTCCCTTGCGCTCAAGCTTGCCTTCAGCCTGCTACTCGGTAGCTGCAGAGCAGGAGGCTGCACCAGACTAGCTGAAGAAGAACTCATCCACGCTGTAGCGGATGAAGAAGATGAAGGCGACATCGGCATCATAAGAGCAGCCATCATGTCCAGAGAAGAAACACCAATAGCCGATGATCTAGGGGATGACAAAATATGGCCGGCAACAGAAGCCGTGGTAGGATTCACCACTCTAAGCTCATCCACCTTGTGTGCGAAGAAACAAACTCGTCTGTTGCATCCAGTTTCATCTTTACAAAGACGAGTACGATACTGAGCTGGATGAAGCCAACACTCGAACACCCCGTGTGCATATTCACAGGAATCAGCTTTCAAGCAAGAACCTTTGCGGAAATCAGGGCAAGGAACACAGCTATAAGAATACTTCCTGGGATCCCGTCGCCGTGCGTTCTCACCAGGGTGGACAAAAGGGCACTCTGTCCAGTCATGAGAGTAAGCTCTGGAGCAAGGCTTCACCTTGAAAGTATACATCCTGAACTCATCGGTGCTATAGATCCCGTTTTTCAAATCCGGGAGAGTTAAATCCGGCGGGTATTCCTTCTTTGAAGGAGATGAAACTCGAGGGCACGGAGCTTTGAGAAGAACCTCGAGGTCTTTCGCCATGGAAGCAGAGAACTGCTTAGCGATAACGTCGCCGGGGCGGTTTTCGGCAGCGTCAACGGCGTCGACGTCCGCCGAAGCGTTGATGAGAAGCTTGACTGCTTCGAGCGACGCCAGCGATCCACCAGCTGCTGCGCAGTGGAGAGCGGTGACGCCATCGGTGTCGCATCGTCGGTTGACGCTGTCGGAGTTATGACTGACGATGTAGGAAAGAACGTCGATGCTGCCGTAGAGGGCAGCGATCATGGCCGGAGTCCGGTTAGCGTAGGCCATGCGGCGTGTTGGGGAGGAAGTCGGACCTACCGAGCGGGAGTACCACGGTGCTGCAATATCGAAAGAGGCTGCTCCGTCTTCTACGGCATGCTTGAAGGCGTAAAGGTCGTTGTTTGCGGCGAGTTCGAGGAGGAAGACGGATTCAGAATCCGGTGAAGATAAAGGCGACGGCTTTATGGTAGCGGTGGCGCCGGTGGTGTCCATGAAAGGTAGAGATGACTTTCGGGGACCGCGGCACATAGATGAAAGGGAAAAAATGTGAGATCTTTAGGAAGAAGGGGATGAAAGGGGCAAGGGGGTCTTCTTCTGCGTTTGTAGGGCAAGGGATCGGATTAAATAAGCAAACGATGAAGGAAGGAAGAGTGGGTTCGTCTTCTTCGCCCGCTCTAGTCAAAAAGGCAACACACGAAGTTGCCTCCTTCGTACATCTGGTTTCTAAATGCAAATGATGAAGATCTGTGAAATGAAATGCAAATGAAGATTCGAAAGCTGCCCGGGAGGAAAGGGCAGAATGGGCAGCAGGGTGACGCGGCGGGCTTTTATTGTTGCAAGTTTAGATTTTCTTTTTTTTTTTTATGAAGTAAATGCTGTTGCTCAACAAATAAAGTTTCTGCTGTGACGCATTAATGAGTAAAAATAAGGGGAATTTACATGCATACCGCATATTTTATATAAAATTACATATTCCACGCCTATACTTTCATATTTATATTTATAACATTAAAATTTTTAAAATTACATAAAAAATACAATTATAGATAATCTTTTTAATTAAGTACACATTTTCATAAATAAAATCTATTACATAAAAATATTCTAAATATAAATATCAGACTATACATATTACATATGTAAATACATAAAAATTGTGTGATGTATATGTAAGTTTCTTAAAATAATTTGTTTTTAAAAAATATAAGTATTAATCTTTAATATATTAAATATATAAGATAAATAAAATTAAACTGTTAAATATTCATGATATAATTATATAACTACTATGAGATGAATTTTAATTTTTTTTTAATTTTATTGAGTTATAAAACATTTTAAAAAATAAATTTTGAATAACAACGTCAATAAATCATCAATAATATATATAAATAATTAAAACCAACCTATAAGATAAATATAATTAAATTAATGGATATTTAAATTAAACTGATTAATTTTTTTTTAAGAAAATGCTAAATTATGTTGAATCATGAAATAGTGAATTATTATGTGATGTTATCAGCCCATTGAAAAATAAATAAATAAATCATATCCTCCATGTCACTAATTATTTTAATTAAGAATTAGGCAACCTAGCATTTGCTATTTTTAATCTGTTTTTATTGAAGAAACACGATTTGGCCTTGTTAATTTGTATAATTTTTTATCATGCATGACCCAAAATGTTTTAGTCAAATGCATCAATTAATTAAATCTAAAAATTTTCAAATGTGAGAGGCCTTATTATTCTCAATAGAGATTTTCTTCTTAGCTCTCACTTGAGTGCTTGTAGGGATGTAAACGAGCAGAAAAGGAGTGGGCTCAGGTTCAGCTCGTGTTCCGCTCGTTAAAAAATATTACTATTCGTCTTCGGCTCGTTTATATTTCGAACATAAAAAATTTGTTTGTTTTCGACTAGTTTGTTTAGCGAGCCGAACATGAGTTGCTTGCCTAATCACGCAGCCGTTGGATGCTAAGAGTTGGAGCAAGATTTAAATCTTAACGTTTATATTAAAACATCATTTAAATATAATTTAATATATTTTTATTCTATTTTTTTAATTGATTATAAATCTTTGTAGCATTGTAGTAAATTTTATATATATATATATATATAT